ACCATAATTTGTAAAGCTATAGTGAATATCTTACTTAGATTTGGTGTGTAGACCACAGGTCCACTACGGAGGAAGACAGACTCAGTTGTAATGACATTAGTTGCCTGGTCAGACCTAATTGGAGAGCTTCTGATTCTGCTGTACATTGCATTATATTATAAAGGTATATATTCATCTAAGCATGTATCAGCATAACTACATTTTTAAGACAAGCGTATGACATAGACTGTATGTAAAAGCTGGATGTAGCTACTGTTTATGTTGTCTAGAGAAGTTGGGAAAGTATGATGATAGCCTGTGTAATATAATATCTCTCAGTATTCATTTTGACAGCAAATCTTGGTATTATGGTGTAAAAATGTAAATGTGTCTATCTAACCTTAATTGCACAAAGAGGTAACTTCTGATTGCACCACTTCCAAACTTTTAACCATTTTCTTTGGATTTCAGTGAGTTCAGATTGGACCCTGCCTCTTGCCCTATTATAGGACAAGAGCGCCTCCACGCAAAGTGCTGTAATGCTGGTAACTCTTCTTTTCCAACTCTGGGATAGTTTTTGACTGACTGGAGGAAGCAGTTTGCCTTCAGGGCGTTTTTTGTTGTCTTATTTACTGTTTTCTATAGCGGGTTGGTAAGTTTTAGGTGTCTGACGCATATAGCTGTGTAAATAACTGAATGTGCTCTTAGAAAAAGGTGCAGCCTGGAGGTCTGGAGTAAGAAGAAGGTAGGGTTCAAATGTGTCAAGTTTCGACTCAGCGGCTGTGAGATTGCGTGGGCATGTGTTATGCAATAGGCAAAACTCCGCCTACAGGTACACTGAGGTTTTCACTGTCCAAAAAGACGGCTTTGTCCTTTTGGCAGCGATAGTCGCGATCCGAACTCTAATAAACTTTCATGAAGAGATTTATACAGAAGAATTAATCAGGCGGAGTATGTATCGGATATTACCTCTGCTCCTCCTGGGAGGATTCTTCCTGACAGGTGAGTTTTAGGAACTTCCGGGAGGTACATCGCATTATTAACGTGTTTCACAAACATGGCAACCGTGTTTAATAAAACAAAACACAAACGAAACATCAAGTTCGGAATCTTATTTGGTCTCTGAGCTGTAAAGCCCGTGTTATTCTTTGGGCGCTCACGGTGTAGTACAGAGTATAAAGTACACTTACGTGTACTGCGACCAGTTTCTGCTAGTATGCCTGTAGCAGGCGTTGATAAGACTGTGTTTGGATTTGAAGCCATGGATTATTTCTTTGTATTAGGTCAGTTAAAAGTATGATCTATCACTTTATCAGGTACACATGTTCAGCAGCTTGCTAACGCAAATATCTTGTCAATCACATGGCAGCAGATCAATGCAATTAAGCAAGGTGACCTGCCGAAGTTCAAACTAAAAAACGGGACGGAAGGGGATCCAGGTAACCGTGAAAGTGGCATTTTTGAAATACTTAGACCAGACAGGCTGGTCTGAGTATCTCAGAAACTGCAATGGTCTGAAAAAGAAAGCACATCCAGTATCCGTCAGAGGAGAATAATGGGCCACTACCTTGAGTTTATATGAAGGCAACAGTAACTTAAAATAACCACTTGTTACAACCAAGCTGTGCAGAAGAGCATCTGAATGCACAACACATCAAACTTCAAAGCAGATGGGCAGCAGCAGCAGAATACTACAATGTGTGACACTCCTGTCGGCTAAGATCAGTAAACTGAGGCTACAAGTTGCACAGACTCACAAAAATGGCACAACAAAATACAGATAGATAAAGTGGAAAAACGTTGTCTGGTATGATGAGCCTGGATTTCTTCTGTGACCATTCAGATGGTATTCGATGTAAACAACATGAAAGCATGGATCTGTTCTGCTTTGTGTCAGTGATTCAGCCTTGTGGTGGTTTAATGGTGTGAGGGAAAGAATTTCTTTGTGCACTTTGGGCCCCTTAGCACTAACGGAGCGTCGTTTAAATACCACAGTAATGGTGTTGACCATGTTCATCCCTTTATATGACCACAGCACTCATCTCCTGATGGCTGCTTCTTAAACTGATCTCAAACTGTTTTCCTGAAAATAACAATTCACTAGCTAGGACCATATCCTCACTTTAGGTTTCACAGCATTTCTAGTAGATAATGGCAGATGGCTTGAGCATAAATTGAGGTTGTGGTTTGGGGAAAGCCTGAGAGTTGACTGGCAGCAGCTCTCAGGCCAGGCAAATCCCCGTGTACCAATGAGAAGTGAATGAATTGAAAAAGGAAGGAAGGGAAGGACGGTGGGGCACAAAAATGAACAGCTTGTAGTGCCGGGAGGGTCGAACTACAATGAGTTCACTGTACCTAATAGTCTCCACAGTCACTAAATCTGAATCCGTTTTTGGGATGTGCTGGAAGAGGAGATCGTCACGCATATGCAGCTGACAAATCTGCAACAACTGTGCAATGCTGTCGTGTCAGTATGGACCAAAATCACTGAGAAATGCTTCCAGCTCCTTGTAGAATCGATGCCACAAAGAATAAACACAGCTGTGAAGGCAAAAGGAGGTCCAGCAAGGAACACCTTAGTATTAGTAAGCTGTACCTAATGAAGTGCCCAGTGACTATATATGCCACACATACCATTACTATCCACAAGTCATGCCTTAATCCATGCAAGTAATTTCATTATTTATTTTGTTAATATCCACTTTTTTGTGGATATTAAAAAAAAATCAACATGCAATGTGTCGGTTTGACTGTAGACATTTGAGAATTACTATTTAAAGGCTTCAGCAACAGCTGTAATGTTTACAATCGAAAGCCAAACACTGTGAAAAAGCTTATTGTATAAGAACATCTTATATATAAAAGAGGAAGTCAGAGCCCCAACTTTCTATATAAAATGACATCATATATTTAAAAAATAAATATGTATACATAGCTGCAGCTGTCTGCAATACAAAGACTTTATGCAAAAGACTATAAAAACGACCTTTAATTTATTTTGGAAGAAGTTCAAACATATACATTCAAATTAAGTACAGCATGTTTGTGCTGCTCATGATGGATCCCAAACCTTTATTTTTCCTTTTTTGTGGCTTCCTTTTCTTTCACTGTGTTTCTCTGCATGTTGTCTTGAGGTGTCTTCTGGCTGTTTTTAAGAATGCTGTCACTCTTCTTCCTTTTTGCATGTCATTCTGAGCAACTGACGCCAAAATCCACTTGGACCAGCTGCTATTTGCAGCTTAACTTGTGTGTTGTTTTCGAATGTAAATCTAAGCCATATGCAACATGGATTTTGCATTCTTGTTTAACTAACATGTGATATGTGAGCTGGACAGCATTTGGTCATACAAAGTCATCTCTATATCTGATATCTGAGCAGGAATCTATTCAACATTTTAGGAAACATCTTTAGTATTAATTAACAAAAAATATCCAGGTTTGCAGTGTGATTCTTACTTTTAAACAGGAAACTTGCACATAACCTTTTTCCAATTAGTTTTCATTTTGTTTAGTTTTGACTTTTTTCTCTTTAAGTCATTTTAGTTTCAGTTAGTTGCGCAGAGTGAAGTTAGTTCTCCAAGTTTACAAAATAGTTTCAGTTGTATTTTTTTTTTCTTCCAAAAGTCAAATTTGATTTTAGTGAATTAAATATTTTTTCACTTCTGGTTTAAGTTTTCAGTTTAGCTGTAACTAACAATATTAACCTTGGTCTGTAAACACAGCAGATACATTGACGGGGTGTTCCCACACTCTCGGCCATGGAGGAGATAATTGAGAGGAGAACTGAAACTGACCTTGTTTGTATTTGAAGTGAGCCTTGGAAAGGGTTGATAAGTTTTTCAGGAATTCAGATTTAAATAGTTATTTCTAAAAACTTACCTACTCTACTATTCTTTTATTAAGGTTAACGTGGTTTCTTAACTTTTATTCTTCTGTCTGTGTTGAGCTGCTTCCTTATTTACCGGGGATCTGTTAACCATTATACTAAAGAGCTTCACATCCCATTAATTTAGCATGCAAAGAAATCCTGTGTCTTACTGGTGCTGGAAGTCTCTGAAACTGCCATCTTTCATCTGCACCATACCACTAAAATTTGAAACATCCTAATCTGTTTAGGCTGGACTATTGTAATTCATTATCATCAGGTTTTTCTAAAAGTTCCCTAAAAGGGCTCCAGTTAGCACAGGGGTCTGCAACCTTTTACACCCAAAGAGCCATTTGGACTCGGTTTCCACGCAAAAGAAAACACTGGGAGCCGCAAATACTTTTTGACATCTAA